AGAGTCCCTCCTCTTCCAGAGACACACACTGCTCTGGGCACAGGCTGCCTGCCCAGGGCTCACCTTGGACATGCACGATGAAGTCCCTGTCATCTTCGCCCACGGTATTGGTGGCCACACAGGTGTAGTGCCCCGAATCTGAGACACTGGCTGGGTTGATCTGAAGGACCTGACCCTCACTGAGGATCTGAAGGTGTCCAGTGCTTTCCAGGAGCTGCACAGGGACCCCATCCCCAGGGCAGGGAAGAAAGAGAAGGGCAGGAGGAGGATTACACACTCAGGAGCAGGACAGAACTCAAACAGCCATATAAAGGGTGTGTTCCTAATCCATTCACCTGGGACAGTCCCCAAACCCATCAGCTCCTCCCTGGTCACAGTTAGGACCTCACCTGCTTGTCCTTGTACCAGCGGATGGTTGGCTCAGGCACAGCCCAGGTCTCACACTCCAGCATCACTGTGCTGTTGACCCTGGCTTTCACCTCTTTCACAGCAAATTCCCCCAAAGGGTCATCTCTGGCAATCCATGGAGGAACTAGTGGGGAAAAATAACAGAGCTGGGATGAAAGATGAGCCCCCACTGCCCTTGCTCTGCCCTAATCAGTTACAGGCAGCACCTCGGGGCACTGCTGACGCCCAAAAATGGACCTTTGACAAGTGGTGTCCCTCAGAGATTCATAATGAGGGGAGGGAAAGGGAAAGGGCACTGGCCTGATAACAGTGGTGAGGTCACTGCAGGAATTGGGAAGGACATGGAGAGCTCCCTCACCCAGGACCTTCACAGCATAGTTCTTCACAGCCTCCCCAGCTTCATCGGCCACAACGCAGCTGTATGTGCCTGCATCCTCTTCCTGGGCATTCAGAATCTGCAGCCCGTGGCCACCTGGGCAAAGGGGGTCTCCTGAGAGGGTCGCTGCTCACAGCCACAGCTGTCTATCCCCATGCAGCACCTGAAGGCATCTCACGGAACCTGCTGATCACCTGCAAGCCTGGCTTGAAGGAGTCTAGTACTCTCCTAGAGCCCAGTTCCCAGGCTTACAAAACCCAGTGCTGAGGAGGCTCTAGCTACTATCAGAGAATGCAGCACATGGAAGAGCAGCATATCCTTGGTGGTCTGAGCCCCTCAGGTCCTGCAGGATGATGACTTCTCACCATTCCACTGCCCTAGACCACAGCCAGACCAAGAAAAGGCCCCACTCCCACTCCCCAAGGCATGCAGCAATCAGCCACCACGGTCATGCAGAGCCAGAGGACAGCAGCACAGTACCAGGGAGCAGGAGGACATTTCTAGATGCTCTGAGAGGAACCTCATCCTTGAACCAGGTGATGTTGAGTGATGGGTATGGCAAAGCCTCACAGACCAGCGAGATAGGGTTGTTGATGATCACTGTGACTTCTTCTGCAGGAGCATCATGGGCATCTCCAACAAAGGTAGGACTGGCTGCAGAGGTGTGTTTGTGTGGCAGATTAGCATTAGCTCCCACTTAGGCTTCCCATCCCTCCATCAGAGCATGATCCGAGTTCAGGGAGCTGGACTTGATGACAGAATATGCCAGCTTCAGAGTCTGCCCTGTCCTTCTGCCCTCCAAAAATATGGGGGACACAGAAGACACACTCCCCATTCCCACAAGCCTCCATCAGAGATGGATCCTGCACTAGATGGACACAATGTTCCTCCAAGAGGTCTCACAAGGACTCTGAGACAGGTCCAGGACCTCATGCCATGCTGCTGGCTGCAGGACTACAGGATCCTCACCCCCGACCTGGGGCAGACCATTAAAAAACCCTAAAGTCCATGTCCCCTGCTCACACCTGAGACTCTGCCTCCATCAGACATCTCATACCCAAAACATCTAGCAGGTAGTGCTTCGTTTGATTTGCCACAGAGCTGGAGGCCACACAGGAGTAGTGGCCAGCATCCGACAGGGACGCTCGGGAGATGTGGAGCATGGAGCCATCAGGAGAGATGGAGAAGTTGTCTCCACTGGGCAGAGAGTGGTTGTCTTTCAGCCAGGTGATCTTAGGTTGTGGGTTGCCTGTATGGGGTGGAAAGCAGGTTTTGGCCTTCATGTAAAGTTTTTCCATGTGTGAGCACAGCCTGGCTGGGGTCACTGCACCAGAGTTTTTCTGGAAAGCAGGGACATCAGCCCAAATCAGAATTATCATGATCTGGATCAGGTTTTTAGAAGCTGCTGGATGAGCCAGCAAGAAGAAAGAGAACTGTCCTGAGTGGGAGGTGATTAATTATTCCCATCACTAAAGGAGAAACCAAATCAGAGGAATTCTAGCTCCCTTTGGGAAAGATTGGAGCCTACACTGTGGAACAAGCTCCCCGTGTGGGCGTCCCCTCTCCAGCACTTCCCGGACAGCCCAACTGCAAAGCCAGGAACTATCCCAAAAAAGGTCTTCAGACGATTTCAGCTATTCTCATGTCTTAGATCAGAGCCATCTATTTTTCTTCAGACGATTTCAGCTATTTTCATGTCTTAGATCAGAGCCATCTATTTGCTCCACACCCCAAAAGGAGACACAGGTCTGTCCCAAGCCCCATCTCCCACCTGCTCACACCACCTCTGCTCCCCATGCGATGCTCACCTGCAGCCAGGCAGGACCAGGTGACAGGGTGACCCTCAGGCACTTTGCTGGTCTCTTGTTCACTTGCATTCTCGATGTGGGGAGGAACTAGGAACACAAGCCACCAGAGACCTCAGCAGCTGGCCAGCTGCATTGAGCCTCTGAGCTCACATCCTAAGGCATGAAGGACTCCAACATGTCCAGTCTTAACTCGTGACTGTTCATGCAAGGGTGGAGCTCTGAAATCCCACAGACAGAAGACCCATCTTTACCTAGGACCTCCACGTAGAAATTCTTCCTGGCCTCTCCAGCTATGTTGCTGGCCAGGCAGGAATAGTAACCACCATCCTGGGTCTGTGCATGGGTGAGCCTCAGCAGCCAGCCCCCTGGAAGCACAGAGCAGAGAGGTCTCAGGACCCTGATCCTGATCGAGGCACCAGCACATCCCAGCAGTGCTCCTGTGGGGCTGGAGCTCCACCATCAGTTTAAACTCAGTGTTGGGGTGTTCCTAAAACACTCATCTCTCCCAGCATCCAGTTCCCTGACCTGAAAGCACATGCATGTGCTCGCTGGGGGCGACAGGAGAGCCATTCCAGAACCAGGTGACTGTGGGCTGGGGAATGCCAGTGGCCTCACAGGTCAGCATCAGGGATCCTTGCAGAGACACACTGACATTGTTTGTCAATCCTGATCCTTGAACGAACTCAGGAGGAACTGGGGTTGCAGAAAAAGATAGACACCCATTTGCAAAGCAGCCAAGACATCAAAGGAGCAAAGCACAGAGGGGAAAACTGGGTGAGCCTGGCTTTTTTCCACCTTTCTGCTTTGTACAGTTTGAGGAAACAAACCCAGAAGGACTATGGGCATCACTTGGAGTTGTAGACTGTGAAGGTGCTGTGGGACAGGTGACCCACAGCAGGTTGCTCTGTGTGGGACAACACCACCCTCCTGATCCTGCCTGCATCCAGCCACCAGCCACCAGCCCCATCCCATATCCTTACCATGCACCACAACATCAAACTCCCTCTGCTCCTGCCCCTCTGCGTTGGCCACCAGGCAAATGTAGCGTCCTGCATGGGCAACCTCTGCCCTGGGGATGTGCAACCTCCTCCCCTGCTCAGTAAGCAGGAGCCCATCCCCACTGGCCACAGGCTGCCCATCCTTCACCCACATCACTGAGGGTGGTGGCATCTCCATGGCCTCACACTCCAGAACTGTCTCTCCACCCTCAATGACAGAAACCTTCCTCAGGGTGTTGCTGCTGCCTTGGGCCCTCGGCAGTGCTGTGGGCAGAAGGACACAGGGTAGAGGTGTTGCTGCAGTGCCTCCCTTAGCTGTACACAAGTGTAAGGGCAAAGCTGGCCCAGGGAGAAGCATCCCTTCCAAAATACCCAAGGCATCAGGCAATGGCTGTGAGCTTTTGGGTCCAGCTGGACTTGCACTGACAGAGGTCACAACACCTTCAGTCACCCCCACAAGTCCTCTGTGAACTCACCGTACACCTCCAGGTGATGCTCCTTGCTGCTTCTGCCAGCAGCAT